CTCTACAACCTGTGTTGAAATTAAGGCCCCCAACTGAACCTCGCTGCTGCCCTTCCGAGAGAGAGCATCGGCCACCTTATTGGATGGTCCGGGCTTGTATTGTATCTCAAAATCCATGCCCATCAACTTCCTCATCCACTTTTGATACTCCCCTCCCACTTCACGTTGTTGGGTAAGAAACCTCAAACTTTGTTGGTCGGTTCTTATGACAAAGTGTCTTCCTAACAAATAATGCCGCCACTTCATGATCGACAAACTAATGGCCATCAACTCCTTCTCATAAATGGATTTGGCTTGATTCCTTACCCCGAGAGTCTTACTAAAATATGCTATAGGCTGCCCTTGTTGCATCAATACGGCTCCAAGACCATACCCCGAAGCATCCGTTTCAACAACAAACTCCAACTGAAAATCGGGCATCCTCACTGGGGCTGTCATCATAGCATTTTTAAGGGCTGTGAACGCATGAGCCGCCTCACTAGACCACCGGTAATTGTCCTTCTTCAATTGCGAAGTGAGAGGTCCCGCGATTTGAGCATAACGAAACACAAATTTCCGGTAATACCCGGTGAGACCTAGGAAGCCCCTCAACTCCCTAATGTTTTTCGGTTCTTGCCACTCCATAATCGCCTTCACTTTCTCCATATCCATAGCCACCCCCTCTTTTGAGACCACATGACCCAAATAGGCCACTTCTTCCTTCCCAAACTCACACTTCTTCCAATTTGCATACAACTCATGTCTCTCCAACAACTCCAATACTACCCTCACATGTTCCTTATGCTTTTCCTCACTCTTACTATACACAAGTATGTCGTCGAAGAACACCAAAACAAATTTCCGCAAGTGAGGTTTAAAGACCTCGTTCATGAGCGATTGGAAGGTTGCCGGGGCGTTGGTTAAGCCAAACGGCATAACAAGAAACTCGTAGTGTCCTTCGTGTGTACGAAAGGCTGTTTTGTGAATGTCTTCCGGCTTCACCCTAATTTGATGGTAACCGGATTTCAAATTCAATTTCGAGAACCATTTAGCCCCATGTAACTCATCAAGTAGCTCATCGATGACCGGAATTGGAAATTTATCCGGCACTGTCTCCTTGTTTAAGGCTCGGTAATCTACACAAAATCGCCAACTTCCATCCTTTTTCTTCACAAGTATCACGGGGCTTGAGAAAGGGCTAGTAGAGGGTCGAATGATACCGGCTTGGAGCATTTCATGAATCAATTTCTCGATTTCATCTTTTTGTATCTGAGGATATCGGTATGGTCTGACACTTATGGGGTCACTCCCTGTTTTGAGTACGATGGAATGCTCGTGTGCTCTTTGCGGTGGGAGGCCCATTGGCATCGCAAACACTGCTTGAAAACTCTGTAACAAGTCTGCCAGGAACGGGGGAGGTGGTTGCTCAGCTACTCCTCCTCCATCTCCTCTCGTCAACTCACTTAACTCAACTAACACCCCCTGTTTTTCCTTCACCAAATTTCTGATCATGGCCTTCAAAGTAATTTTTGCTTCTTCGAGAGAAGGATCCCTCGTTAGAGTGACTGGCATTCCACCCATATGGAACTTCATAATGTGTGTCTTCCAATTCGTAGTCACCGCCCCCAATTTCTCCGACCACTGTACTCCGAGTATGACATCGGCACTTCCCAAATCCAAGGGTAGGAAATCCTCTATCACAGCAATGCCACCATCCAGTTGTAACTTAACCGCCTTGCATATCCCACACCCCTTAATCACCTCGCCATTACCCAAAGCTACACTAAATTCACCTCCTTTCGAAATCGGCAAGGCCAATTCCGTCACCAATTGAGCCGAGATAAAGTTGTGGGTCGCCCCGGGTTCCACCATGACAACCACGGGTTTTCCGGCCACCTTCCCCCGAAGTTTCATAGTCTTCGGGTTGGATATTCCGATGACTGAGCACAGCGAAACTTGTACCTCCTCTTCACTCTCTTCTTCTACCTCCTCGGGTGGTGGTGCTTCTTCTCCGGCCACCAGGAGCACGCTAAACTCTCTCCTCTTCCACCGGTGCCCCACGTGCCAAGCTTCATCACATCGGAAACACAAGTTTTTCGCCCTCTTTTCCTGCATCTCTGCATCGGTCAACCTCCTCGTGAAATTCGAGCTTCTTCCCTGAGTTATTCCTTTGGTGCCGATCTTGTTAACAGATGTGTGTGATTCGGTGGGGTGAGGCCCACTTTTCGCTGGGTTGGCATGGTTTGGCACTCCATATGTTTGCACCAGACTTGACCCACCAATTTTGTTGGATATAAAAGATGTTCCCACATGTTGGGCCGGCCCACTTGATGTTCCAGCCTTTAAGAAATTTGGGCTCAACCTCTTGGACTGGTACACCCTATTCTTCTCCTCTATCCTCCCAACTAATTCCATGGCCCCTTCTAGGTTGAACGGGTTCAGCAATCGTAACTCCGTTTTCACCTCACTCTTTAGCCCGTTGATAAATTGACCCAACATCAGTGATTCGGGTACACCATCCAAAGGAGCTGCCATCTCAATATATTTCCGCCTGTATTCCTCCACCGTCCCAGTTTGCTCCACCGCCAACCATTGCTCGTACAAGGGCCCGGTGTGAGATGGCCGGAATTCGTACAACAACCTCTGCTTCAAGTCAACCCAGCCCCCAATCGGACGCCTCTTCTTTTCCCAGTGAAGCCACTTGAGCGCCGCGCCATCCATGGCTACCACAGAGGCTTCAAGCTTCTCCCTTTCGGTTAACCGGTAGAATTCGAAAAACATCTCCGCCCTCAAAACCCAATTATCCGGGTCAGTACCCTCAAACAGCGGCATCTCTAGCTTCCTATGTCTCCAGTGTCCGCCGCCGCCGCCCGATCCGTTGCGGTGGTCGTATTGATCCTCCTCTCCCATTCCGTCTCCCCGCCAACCCCGATTGTTCCTCACTAGGGTGTTGCGAACCTCATTCTCTCCCTGCACCTGACTATTGTCACCGTCCAAGTTGAGAACTGAATGAAAGATGGGTTGCTGCTGTGGTGGTGGTCTGGGCACTCCAGTTTCCGTTCTCTTCATCTCCTCGCGAAATTTCTGATTGTTTTCCCACTCGATTAAGGCCAACCTCTCTTGCTCTAACCGGAATCGATCGATTCTTTCTTCTACCCGGTTCTGGCTAGTGTCTCCTCAGACCGCTTCCTCTCTGCCTCCAGAACGCCAACCGCTGCCTGAACTGCCCTCTCAACGGTTGCCTCTTGTGCTCCAAGCTTCTCCACAATGCTCTTAAGGTGTGCCCTCTGTAAGTCGAACTTCCCTTCGATGGTCTGTAATCGGGATTCAACCTCTCCAAGTTTCTCATCCGTTGCGTCAATTTGCTGGGTTAGGGTCGGGGTCACCATGATCGAATGCTCTGATACCAATTGCTATGAACTCAGCTCACCCTGTCAATGTAACAGTAGTCACAAGCACTCGCACAGAAATATAGGAGGAAAGCTTAAGGGTATTAAATTAAGAATGGAAGATTACTACTAAGTCTACTACTACTGCTATTACAATAAAGATAGAATCTTGGAAGGAATACTGCTGCTACTATCAGACTAGAGATTACATCAAAATCGGCATGCCCTTACAAAACCCTGCTTTTCCCCTTAACTACTCAGTCACCCTTTCCCCAGGTTACCCTAGAATTCAGAGCACCCTGTCACACTCTGCCATGTGGCTGCGCACCCACTAATCAGAGAAAAATCCTCTTTTGTCCTCTACTGCTCCTTCACCTTTTGTTGTTTTGTGCCTTTTCCTTACATAAACTTGAATCGGTTTGGATGGGCTAGCCTGATCTATTGCAGAGTGTTGTGAAAAGGGCTGCAAAACTTTGTGGCGAACTGCTTTTTGCTTTTTAGTTGCTTTTATTTGTTTACTACCTCCATTCCTATTTTATTCTTGAAATTTTTAATCACAGCAATTTATGCAATTGGAGAGATAGTGTTGATGTGGTGACTGGATAGTAATAGGATAAGTAAGTGAGTGTAAGTGTAAATATTTTGGGTAAGAGAGGTGAGGTATTATATGGTGTGTGCCAAAAATGGAATGAAGTGAAAGTGTAAAGAACTTTAAGGAACGGACTTGTGGCAAAAGTATTAAGAACACATAGGAACGGAATTAGTACTGTATTTTTTTTCATGATTTGTCTTCTGATTGAATGTCTTTTAAATTATGGGATCAAGTGGTGTATTTGGCTTCTTCCTAGACTTACACTGGTAGAATTTGAGCTTGTTGTGTCTCATTCACCCTTTAACTTGGATTAGAGGGCTTTTTTTTTTTATTATTTTATTTTTTTTTATTTATATTTTTATTTTTTATTTTTTTTATTTTTCATTTATATTTTATTTCTTTAATATTTATTTTTCCCTGTATTTCTTGATGATGCTGATCATCTGGTCCCCCTCTTCTAATACCTCTTCTGTTTTATTAATCTAATTTTTATTATAAAGTGTAGCTGTGTGTATCATTTTGTCAGCTTTGAACAAAAGCTAGCATATTGTTAGGCTGAATTATGTTTATGTTCAGCTTTCTTGACCCTGTTTTTTTTTTACTTCAAATCCTGAGCATGCACTTTATCAATATATGTAACTTTTGTGAGTGTCACACCTACAAATAGGGATAGGTTGGCTTGGGTACAAGTGCAGCCTCATTTCAGCTTGCTGAGATGCATGCTTTCTTTGAAACTGTAATATAAACTTCGACCGCTCTTAACAGCTATCTAGTTAGAAATTTAGACCAGGTTTTGCTTTTCAAGTGATTTTCATGTCAATTGTAAATTTGCATTACCTGCAACTTATTTTAGTTACATTGAAATTGCATTGGCCGACTGCTTTGTGTGGAGAGGTTAGGCATGTATTGTAGTTTGTATATGAACATGGTTGTCCTTGATGAGGATGACAAGTCTAATCTGAGTCCAGATATTGCCTATTATTATATGTTTAAATGTCTGAACGCTTATTCTGTTTCTTTTTATTCGTATGCCTTTACAGGCTTTGGTGCAGATGAGAAATTGGTACATTCGTTTTCCAACAATCTTACAGGCTTGTGAGAGCATTATTGAGATGCTAAGAGGACAATATGCACACTCAGTTGGTTGCTTCAATGAGGCGGCTTTCCATTTTGTTGAAGCAGCAAAGGTATATACTTTTGTATAATAATTTTGGTTTTTGGTAGATATTTAGTCATGATATACATAAGCTTAGTCTTTTTTGTTATTGGAACAACAAAAGAGAGATTGCTTTTTATGTGCTCCTGACTCTGAAATCATTTGCAGATGACAGAGAGCAAGTCAATTCAAGCTATGTGTCAAGTGTATGCAGCTGTCTCTTACATATGTAATGGTGATGCAGAATCTTCTTCACAGGTAATTAATTTTGTCATGGCATAGATAGAGTTTATTTTATTTTTTAATAGAAAGAGACATAGGTGATTTGTATACATTGTGCATAAAATACTCCACCTTTATTAATTTTGTTTCCTGGCAGGCTCTTGATTTAATAGGGCCTGTCTATAGGGTGATGGATTCTTTCATTGGAGCACGAGAGAAAACAAGTGTTCTGTTTGGTTATGGTCTTCTGTTGATGAAGCAGCACAATCTTCAGGAGGCACGGTATGCATTTAGAATCTTGATCTATCTTTTGCTTGAATTGGATTGCTACAGCCACATCAAATATTGTGGGTTACATTCTAAATTTCATTTGAATAGCTATATTTTTATGAGAATGAGCACTTTTCAATTTTATATAGCTCAGCTCTTACACTTTTTGGCACATGAGCACATCACATCCACGGCTTTATAGAATATTTTGACTAGCCTTTAGAAATCATGGACAGGTAGCTGCAGCGAGATTTCGACTGGTTAGTGATGAGGCATTGCTATCTAGACAGGAATTTTTTTATGAGATTTTTTGTTTTATTTGACTGCTTATTATGGTGTTATAATGGCCTACAATAACCATGATGATTGGACCTTGGGTACTAAGTGTTTTGTGAGGAATATGCATATGGAATTGGGAAGTAATTATCTAACCTTAGGATAACCATAATTTATGAGAGGGCTGGTTTGGGGGGGGAGCGGGAGGTTTGAGGAGATTGCATTGGTCCTATTCAAATAGGCTGTCTTTTCTCTCTTACCTCATTGTAAACCAATTCCTAAACAGGTTCAAAATACAGTAATCGGTGATTTGAATGGTGAATCTTATTTGGAGGTAGGGGATTATTGTTTCAAATATGATCAATGGTTTACAGTGGAGAATCCATGACAATGTAATGTGGACTTTAATTGGCTTGGCTAGAGGTAGGAGACACTAGGCTGGGCAGAAATTGAGAATTATACAATCAAGATAAGTGGATAATTATGTAAAATTCTCCATCCGTCCCTTTTTTACATTCCTGTTTGTAAAATTACACGGGAATTAAGGAACTAAGAATAACACAAATAACAATAAAACAAAACACAATGGGAAGTACAAAACATTAAATGATGTCTTTGAGTAAAACAAAGATAGATTAATATTTAATGATGCCATGTCATCAATCCTTTGCAAAAAAAAAAAAAAGGACCAATAACATGCTCCTATTGGAACATTAAAAACCAATCATATTCAACTAAATTTAGGCACAAGGATTCTGAATTTTTTTAAGGGGAAAATAAGAGTGAGAATAGGTAAGTAAGAGTGATCATTAATTACAAAACAGAAAACAAGAGATAATTTGGGATATTTGAAAAAAAACTTACTAAAAAAGGAAAGGAGGAATGTAGTTTTGGAATACCAAAAAAGGAAAGCCGGAATGTAAAAAAGGGACGGAGGGAGTAGTAATTAGTGATCAGAGTAGAGTTGAAGATTTTACAGTGAAAGATATGAGTGAAATGGTAAGATTCAGACCTTTCTGGGCTGTTAACATATGTTACAAATGTGGACGGTGGACTACATTCAAACTTCTATTGATGAGATGCAGGTGAAGACTGACGAGCTTGAACATTTGATCAGGCTAAATTTAGCGAAAAGTTACTATTTTACATTGCCGTTCTTGTGGCTGTCATGCAATGACGTTTAGCTTTTCTATTTCGTTTTGTGAACCTTATTTATGAGAATACCTCTTTGTATGTTATCTTATGTGGCATTTTGGTAAGGTAGAGAGAAATATGGGACTCAAAGAATAAAAAAGACAAGAATTCAATTCTGCTTTATAATTTATATGGTTTTGGCAATTGTTTGAGGTTTGTTAATTTCACTAATTTGCTTCTATGCTGCAGGATACGTTTGGCTACTGGATTGCAAATAACTCACAGTAATCTGGGAAATCTTCAGTTGGTTTCGCAGTATCTAACAATTCTTGGAAGTTTGGCCCTTGCTCTTCATGACACTGCACAAGCTAGAGAAATTTTGAGGTCTGCTTTGACATTGGCGAAGAAACTTAATGATATCCCAACTCAGATCTGGGTACTATCGGTTCTCTCAGGTTTGTCTAGAACAAAATATCTCTCTAAGTTCAGCACACTTATACTGCTATAGACGTGTAATAAAGTTGGACACCTGAAATTTAACTTTCACAAATGATAGAATGCATCTGAGACCAAGCTTGCTCTAATTATGAACCAAGTAGAATACAAGAAATGGCGCTAAGGCCAAAAAAGACAAGGTATTAACTAATAATATGTACACTTGGTCAAGCCACATTCTGCCAATCTGCTGAAGCTTAAGATCACAGTGATAGCTGGAACTTTAGCATTGTCACACTGCTCTGTACCACCCAAAGCAAGTAAACATAAGCTGCACACAGAAAAATAGGACTGTTTTGAGCTTGCATTAGGGGTTCTGATGTGTTTTTAAATTAAACAAATTCATTGATGTTGAATCGTAGGTGATGTATAACATTTTATGGACCACCACACCATACGTATCAGTAGGTGATTGAAACACCTGTTGTGTATTAATCGTCAACCTCTAATTATGTGTTGATTGTTCACTAGCCAAATGAGGTACTTATTTTTTTTATTATTTTTTTTCAAACAAATTTGTGCAACTGCAGCACTGTATCAGGAGCTGGGAGAGAGGGGAAATGAATTGGAGAATTCAGAGTACCATAGAAAGAAGATAGATGATCTGCATAGAAGACTTGCAGATGCTTATGCATCAATTCACCATATTGAGCTGGTAAGCTTTCATTATGTTGCTTAGGAAAGATTTAATTTTTTTGGCCTTCACTAACTAAAACAAAAGCTGAAGGTTCATCCGCTCTTGTTTTACTATTGCAGATTAGCAAAGATAAAATTGAAGTTCACCAGCTGCTCAATTCTGATACTAAACGTGCTATGGCAAGTTCGTCGATGAAGGTTGATCTTGACATCCCGGAATCTATTGGTCTGGCCTCATCAATGCCCGTAACTTCATCCTCGCGGCTTGTTGACTTAGATTCTGGAAGACGCGGGAAGAGGAAAATTTAGCTTGAGAATGTATATATTTGTAACTGTCAGAACTTATTTATCTGTATATATTTATATGGCATGTATCTTACTGCCAAGATTAGGAATATTTACCAGTCATATGCAATGAAATTTGCTTTTCTTTCTCATTCTCTAATTGTATTGTGTTGCGGATTGCGATCTGCATGTAGCAATTGTGTAAGCTAGGAAGCTCAGATCGCTTGGTTCTTAAGGAAGTTTGCCCTTCTAGTTTTCTGCCCCATCTTGAGCTATACTCCCGTAAGCTTCTGAACAGTATAGTTTTATTTTTAACTTAGGAATTGATTTAGTTAGGTAATGATTATCATCTTGTTGTTCAAGTTTATTAAACAAACTCACATTCACAAACCAAGACTGGTGATGTAAATTATATTGAGGCGTGTTAATCTTTTTGTGTTCACATCTTCGTACCAATCTGAAATGAATAAAAATTGCAGATTCGTAAACATGTAAGAATTTCAATAGGGTTCATCGGTTTCAAGTTCCAAAAATCAAATTTTTTCATGTCAATTGACAATCCGACTTCATCAATCACCTTGACAAGGCAAATTTGGACAATCAGAACAAAGCAACAGTTGAAAAATCACAACATAAAGTATGTTATGTACCATTTGTTCAGAATGGGATGAATAGTACTGCAATATAGGGGCCGTTTGGTTCACCCGGGGTAAATGGAATGGAATGAACAAAGGGAATGGTAGAGAATGGAATGAAATCACCTAATATTCTCTATGTTTGTTTTAAAAACAAAGGGAAACAATCCCATCAACCCACCACCACACAACCACCACACAACCACCCACGTTCCACCTTTTCTAGCCACCATCCGACCACCAAACCACCAGCCACACCTTCGCCGTCTTTCCCCTCACCGTCGCCTCCCATTCGCCGCCTCCGCGCAACCGTTTCTTCCCTGGAGATCAACCCTGAAAAACCCTAGAAACTCCCCTCCCCCGAAAAACATCATTCACTCCCCGAAAAATCGTTCGTCTGACCTTCCCCCACCCTCGAAACCTTAGGCGACGCAGCGAGGGGAAGGGGAAGGGAGGCGCGGCCGGCTGTGAGGGGAGGGGAAGGGAGGCGCGACTGGCGTGAGGGGAAGGGAGGCGCGGCTGGCCGTGGAGTGGTGGTGCGGGTTTCCGATAAGTTGAAAAGGTGGAAGGGTGGTGGTATGGTGGTGTAGTGGTGGCCAAGGAATGGGAATGGGAAAGTCTAGGGGGGGGGTGGGGAATGGAGTTGGAGGGATTTTGGGGAATGAAGAGGGGAAAGGGAATGAAAAATATGGTCTAACAAACAACAACAAAGGGAATGGGGGCAGTTGATTCCCATTCCCTTTGATGATTAACCCCAACCAAACAGCCCCTAAGTGCTTTTATTAGTGACTTTGGAATTATTCATGATAGTTGATAAACTTTGTTGAACTCTAATTTCGGTTGAATTGATTGGCAGTTTCGATAACAAAGATCAAGGTGCTGATATATTCATTGTTAGTTGCTGGTGAAGGGAGGTATCGCAGAGAACGACTGAGCAAGGACCAAGGAGCTTGATTTACATAGCAATGTAATGGTAACATTTTACTACCACAAATCTTATCTACTGTTTTGTTTTTATGGTTTGGTTCATGCTATATGCTTTTATTCTAGAGAAGTTTTATCAAAACCTTTTTAAGGTTCTTCAACTTCCACAATCTCTCATAATTAGCAATATCATCAATTGAATTCTCAAGTTGATTCATCACACATAACAAAGAAACACTTTAAAATTCATAACATAAAATTCAGCAAACAAAATCAATTACTGCCAAAAGAAGCAAGTCATTGAAGCCAAGACATACAAATCAGTAATCCTTTCCTAAACGCCTTACCCTCAATCAAAAATCGATTTTCAATTTCTTACAATTGTATATCAAAGCCACTTCGAAAAATTTCCAAACAAACTAGTTGAAAATGTGAGAAATGTCACTGCCATGCCACCTGAAAAACATAATGACATTTATCGAAACACAAATATCATTCATCATTTTGGTCTTTTATAGATATTTCATTGTTTGCACAATATCTTGAAATAGAACCCTTTTTGTTTCGAAACTCATTGAGATCCGCCAAAGCTTGATTATGAGCACTCGTATGTCCACCAACATGTCTATCAAATGCATCAACCCTGTTCCAATATCTGAACCCCTTGTTAACAAAAGCATCCCCTCCTACCGCGCTATGTTTCTTGAACAAATAGCAAACAAAACAAAACGCTGCATCCTTTTCAACACTATACTCGAGCCAAGGTTTATACTTATCAAACCATTTAGAGCTAAATCGACGCATTTTGTTCCCAAAAGGTCTTTGAGGAAAGTCCTGCATTTCAGGCTGATAAGGCTTTCTTCGAATATACTCCCTCCTAACTATATCTCTATCATCGGGATGAAAATCAATTATCTTTCTCCTTTTTCCGGGGTCTTGTTGTAGATTTATAGCATCGGATTCACTTAATCTCTTCTTCTCAATCCGAGGATTAGAATGAGCTCCAACTTCATTAATTTTACCATCTTGATTGTTGCAAATAAAATCTTCAGATTTTTGATGTGAAGTATAGATTGACAAATCAGTACATGAAGGAGGAATTGGACTAGAATCATCTATATGTATTCTCTTTGAAAAGAAACTTGAAATATCTCTTTCTTTTGTTCTCTTCATTCTGAAATTTTATTTGATACGTTAATCAAATCAATTCAAATTCATTTAGACATTTACAATACCCAAATCTTTATTTAAGAACTTAAACTAAAACATAATTAATTTTTTTTTTTAAAAAAAAAAATTCGAAAATGTACCTTTGTTGATGAATGATGTTTGCTGCAATCGTGCTACGTCTAGTTTGTTGTCACCAAAGCCGAGTTGTCGTGCCGGCCACCAATTGAGAGAAGAGGTAAGGACTGTGGATGGCGGTAGAAGGGAAGGTGGGAGGGAAAAGGAGAGTTTTTATATTTATTGTTTAGGGCGCGCGGGTAAAACGCGGGAGATGTTTAATTTTTTTTTACTTTCAAATTTCGAATTTTATGATTTTTACTTTTCATAAATTTACAGAGGGTAAAAATTAAGTGCAAAATTAAAGAAGACAGTGTACTATTACTAAAAAAAAAATTTAATTTTACAGTACATTTCAGATTGGTCGGACAGGCCAGACAGGCACCAGAACCTTCACTGGTGTCACTTGACAGCGTAAGGTAAATTTTGCAGGAATCGTTTTTATATTTTACTGTATTATTTTATTTTTATTTTTGTGATAATGACTTGGTTAAGGTAACAACATATATACTATAAAATACTACCTCCGTTTTTAATACTTACTCCATTTCTCTTAGACACGTATGTCAATGTTAATCTTTGATCAATAATATTTTAGTTTTTAATAAGTATAAATTCTAAAAATTGAAAATTACTAATCTATTTTTTGAAATGATTCTAACAAGTACCGACAAGACTATATTTTTTCTTATTTATAAATCCCAAACTTTAGTCAAAGTAGTACAAATGAATTGTCTAAAAAATATAAATGGAGCAAGTATTTAAAAACGGAGGAAGTATTTGTATTATATATTTTTAAATTAAGGCTCTTACATTTCTGGAGTAAAAATTAACAAAAATTCATTTGAAACAAATGCGTGTATAATGAAATGGTTTGTTGAAGGGAATAATATGTAGGCTAATGACATTATCCATGACTAATTTTTTGGTGCCAAATTTATGTGGTGCGCTTTAAGGATTAAACAACTTGTATGACTATAGCAAAAAATTAAAAATTTGTTTGAACACAAAATGTAAATGAGCTTTTGGAGATATCTTACAGACAGTTATACATTGAACATTTGCACGAGCTAAAAGAGTACTTAAATTGTGTCTGGCCAAACCATCTTCAATGCTTATGATACAGTTCAGAGTTCATAAATGTGTCTGGTCGAACCATTTGCTATGCTTCGATGTGCTGCAATTCAATCATTTTTAGGTATGTTATGAAAGAGAGGTATTACTGTATTACGGAATAATAATGTAAGTAGCAACTTACCTTGCTTAATTTGTGCAAGCACACAATTTCTGTAATTGTCTTACTGAAGTGTCATGCACAATATAGTCCTTGGAAATTTTCCTGCAAAAGCTAACCAATAAAAACAAAAGAAAAGAAAAATGAATTTTAATGGAGGAAGAAGTATGTGATCCGATTTCATTTGCTTAAATAGATTGTTAAGCGATAGAGCAATCGAATGGCAGGGCAAGTCTCCCTTGGCAGAAAGGCGCGTTTTGTTCTGCTTTTTTTTTCTGCCAAAGGAGAAATGCCCTGCTATTCCTCTCTATTGTTATTCCTGAATGTCTTATTATTTACTTCTTCACAAAAAAACTGCTATTTATACAGCAGTTCTTGATTATATGCTAATAATTCTTTTGGAATATTTCAAGCATTATCCTGTTTTTGAGCTGTCGTGGGCCGCTTCTATTGGTTTATGCTTTATGTTCTTGCTATTTGGCAAGTCACTGGAATCAAATCTGCTAAAAAACCTTCCTCTATGATATCCAAATATTTCATTGCCTTTTCAGGTTAGGGAAAAAAAAAAAAGAATAATATTAGAATGGCTTTCTTGAAAATCTATTAGGACAATGTATCATAATTTGGATTAAATGTCTCGAATACATGGTGAAAATAAAATGTTTACAATAGTTTTCTTACTACCTCTTTAGAAAATTCATTGTAGTTTATTGTACTTTCATCGCCTCATCAGTTTTGCATCACTTCATATATCTACATTTTTTTTTCTTTAATATTTTTTTTTTTGGTGAGGATGTTTTTAAGAGAGGATCCATTAACTCCAGAAGCGCGCTCTGAACATGTTTAATCGTGACTGGTTTAATTCCCAATGAATGTAAAATTACGCTCAACAGGCTCACAATCTTGTGCATTCTGAAGTAACAACAGGGCCGTAGCAAGGGGAGGGCAGCTGGGGCGAAAAAGTCCAGCTTCAATACAATACAAGGCCCCATAAAAATATACTTGGTACTAAATAATACTCTTACTATGTATATATATTTTTAAGAAAAAAGAAATAAAGAAAACAAGAGGTGTGTAATGTACAACACTACAATAGTGCCGTAGAATTCCAAAATATCAAATGACATTTTTGGTCAACGCATTTCTTCCCTAATTTTTTGCCCAAATTATTCACTTTCCTAAGTGAATTTGATTAACAAAAAAAAAATGTCATTAATTTTAATTGTATCCCGTTTTTAGTAATTTTATTTTTCAAAATGTATCTCATTACAATTTTCAGTTAGTTAAATTCCTTCTCTTTCTCGATTCAATTGAAGATGAAAACTAAAATAAACGGTCTTTTTACTCTTCAATTTTCAACGGGAATTTATCTAATTATATATAATTCTCTTTGCATACCCTATCTTTTTTTTAATGGTGCATACATGACTTTATTCATCAAGTTCTCTTATTTGTATTAAACTATATTTTTCTTAAACTGTATAACTACTTTCATTCAAATATTACAAAATTTGGGGAAAAAAAAATCTAATTGATTGGTTGGATACTTGGTTTGAATGGTTCGGCTGGTGTAATTATTTCAAGAGAGTTACGGGAATGTAATTTCAATGTTTTATGAAATGTGATGTTTTTAAAAATTATTAATCATAATAAAATATGTATTTACATTTTGCATACCCAATTTTCTTAAAATTTTATATAGTATATGTGAATTAGGGCTCCAATTTATGTTTTTGCCCCAGGCGACCGATATCTCAGAAACGGCCCTGAGTAACAATTGCAGGTTTAAACATTAGATGATGTTGGCCCTATTTGAAGCAGCTAGCAAAGATTTTACATTACCTTAGCTTATATTTTTCATTCCATATGTTTAAGATGATTAGATTTCTTGACACTTTCATCACTTCAGTTTTCTTCGTTATTACATCAATGCCTCAAATAAGGTTCCCAAGTCCCAACTATGATGTATTAGGGCCTTTAGGGCGATTGAATATAAATAAACATAAATACATACCAACATAAAACTATTGAATAGAGAATAGTTGGTAAGTAATACATTTATAGTCTTTTATGTATCATGAAGGCTCAGTCTTGAAAGTTTTTCAAATGTAAGCACAACCAGATATTCATCTCTTGCTCCAAGGGAATTGCTTAACTCGAAAGCTGCAGTTGCAAATCTGTAATTCCTTGTAAAAACTTTTGTCAGGATTACTTGCTTCATGTACGAATACTGCAAATTATATTAGAGATGCCTGTCAAAAGGAACAAGAAATATAAACATAAGAGAAGTAATAAAAAAAAATATATATAAATTGCTTCAAATTTTCATATAGGTAGAGGGGTCGAAATAACAATGCTGATGAATAGCAGGGCAATTCTCCTTTGGCACAACCGATTTTATGCAGTTGCATTGTCTGTATGCCCAAGGAGAATCGCTCTGTTATTCACCGGCCTGGCCTATAGTATCAAAAATTTTCATCTTGGATCCTATGTTTCTTGTCAAGGTAACCTTGAAAATCATTATATATGCTAAAATCAAATTGATTCTAGATTGGATATGCCGTCAAGGGGTGGCATATGCTTAGCAAATAGCAGTATTTTTATCTTTGGAATCATGGTCCCGAAACTATCCTAGTATAGTATTGTTTTCGTTTCATTTTAGTTACAACATTTGCTCTTTAGGAATCAAATTTTACAAACTTTGACCTTATGATGTTGAATTGTTTCAATGCAATCTGATGAAGTACACGTTGTAACTTGTAACATAAGAGAACCGGCTTGGAGGAAGTAAAATTTCATTGTTTTAACCTGTGTTCCACAGCAATGGATTGGTCTTTAGGTGTACACTGAGGCAAGAGTGAAATCTTGCTTCATTTAACAAAAGTGTATCTTAATCCTACTGGTTTTCTTGTAAATCAGAATCTCAGAAACAAGAAAAATTTCACTGAAATGATAACTTATATTCAATGTGGCATGCTACTTTTTCATAATTATATTTTATAATAACTTCAGAATTAAAAAATTCATGTTGTCTTATAGTGCAGCCTTTCTAAATTAGGAACTAAGAGGAGAGAGATGAAAAGCTGAAGTTTTAATTCTAGATAGTAAACTATAGCTGGACAAATTTTGGGCATCATAGAACATGCCATTGGATCTTCTTATTCTAATACTAAAAGTTACTATAAAATGGATTTGTAGGGCTGGAGGCAGATGCCTTTACAGTAGTCCTTTGCCGAAAATACTACTTCTGGCCTTTGAAGGGCAAGAGCTGCATATGCAAAGGTCGTCAAATTATAAGCTAAAGGTTAGAATCCTTTTCAAAGATTGCGGCACTTTAAGGGATTTTGTTTGAAATTTGATTATGTAATGTAACTTCCATCCATCATGGAAAGATGGGTTTATAAAGCTTGCATAGGACTAACAGTATTTATAACCTTTTTTCTTCCTTATCCTATAAATAATCTTCATTATTATTCTTATTCTTTGTCAAACAAAGTACCCTCATAAAGCTAAGCTAATTACTTCAATGTGTGAATAGCAGTGAGTTCTTTTTCTTGAGTGTGGTTGGATTATTGGCCGTAGCAGCTATGTATATGTAGTGTAGGGGATTCAACTCGATACCTCTTACAAGTCCTCAACCTTAAGCAATAAGCCGAGTCTCATAATATATGTTAAGGGAATATGTAACTGTATGATATTCCTTAAAAAATAAAAATAAAAAATTGTATGGTGTATGTTATACATATATGACCTTAATGTTTGCTTAGAATTGGTAAATGTAGACATTATGTCGTTAAACGAAAAGGAAATCATCTCTCTGGAAACAGAATCCTGCCTCTACATAAACTTAAATTACTTGCAATGAGTATATATATGATTCCATTTCATTAGGGATCCAAACTCGAGTTGTCACAAAAATAGAAAATTTGTTTACTGAATCAGAGCTTCAATTGGATATGCCAAAGCAAGGTACAGCATATGCTTGGGACAGTCTAGGTCCTTTTGTTATCTATGTGTTACAAAATCCCCTTTTAGGATTTAGATATGATTTTTGTAACAGACTGACATTTTTAATCTGTCTTTTCATTTGTTGCTTTTCTTCTTTTCTGATTTACGACTATGTACATCAATGCGTGTCATTGAACACACACAGAACAAGGAAAATTTCATAAATTCATAATAGATGTCTATAAATTAGTAATTGGCAAAAACTATGATTTTGTAATTAACTAAAGCATCCATAGAGCTGATTCAATTTCCTGCAGCCAGAATGTTAAGGCTTCGATGGAAGCCTAAATAACTAATATATCTTCTGATGTGAATATTTAGATTGTATGCCTTAGCCTGATTCTGTAATAAGGTCATCACGTAATAGGGCTGTGCGGGCTGCACACTTGTCTCATTGTGATGAAAGACTCAAAGTGAACTTTGGATTGATAATATTTGTATATTGTAGATACAGGATGTACCTGAAATGCTATTCCACGACAACAAATGCTCAAAAGGGTGTCAACTGCACCTCTATTTTATAGTGTAATTTCATGCTTCAAAAGTGAGCTATTTGAGTAACTCACTAACAAAGGACATTTTCCTGGTAATATGGCCACGCGAAACATGGATCACAAGCTTTACAATGGCCTCTCCACATTGCATGATGCAATGCAACTCAGGCTTTTCTGCTTGTGATGAAGTTCCTGTATTCAAAATTCTTTTGATTGTCGGGTGTATAATTTTAAGATAGTAATATTTATTGTTTTTGTTCACAGTAAATGGCTCCTGAGGTATATGGTCATGACTTGAAGAGTTAAAAGTTTGTGAGATTTTTTCATGCAAGTACCATATGGATTTTCATGCCCTTTATAGTAATGCATATATTTTCACCCCCAAAACGGGCTATCTTCCTAAATTTTCATTACCATTCCATCAAAAGACATAGTTGGAAGTGCCTCGGTCACTTTGGACATCCCCATGGAACTTTTCATGCAATATTGATTTATTTCCATGAAATGGGTAAGCTGTTTGTATACATTGTACATTTGTACTTTCGATGAGAAAGATCACAAAAATATGTAGTGAGGCTTGTTATTTCCATCTACATTGTTCCAACAAAGTATCTTGAGAATGTAGGAAGCATATTTGATAATAATGGTTTAGCTAAGAATTTAAGATACTGAGAGTTGGCGCAATAGGGCATATTTAGAGAATGAATTCATGAGATGAAACCGAGCTTAACCTTAAAGTTAGTAACTATGATTGGCTTACAGTAAGCTCCTGCTAAGCACATTTATCATGTTATAGACCTTACAGCAACTGCAAAATCATGATTTTCTATGTACTTTCAGAAAAGTTTCTTTTTTATTTCTGAAACTTTTGAAAGCAAAAATTGAGAACTAATACAATAAACTTGATTCTGGAGTACTTTGATCCTTGCAAAATCTGTATTTCATCAACTGATTTACTATAATGATATTTTGAGATACAAAGCTGCATTATATCTTTGTGCACAATCAAACACATGCCTTGATGAAGTTTGCATCCACTTCTTTACACACACCCTGCTGTTCGAAGAAGTAGCTTGATTGATGATGAGAAATCAGAGAGACTGATCAGAAACCGAAAAAGGTAAATCTAATTAGTGCTTGGATGCTAAGAGAAGATTAGTCCAAAGTGATTAACCTGCTCAAGGGAAAACAATTAAAGAGCAAATTAGCATCAAAGTATCATAATTCATAATGCAAAACTTTATATACTATTACCCTTTATAAATGTTTCTTGCTTCCACAGTGAGGACTTTTGCAACTTGCTTTGAACATTCAGTTGCAGACTTCAAACAGCCTGAATAATTTCCTGAATGACTAGAAATTAGCCCGGTTTTTACTGCTCAATGAAAGAAACGAGAACAGAAAAACATTAAAATTGAATAAGCATGATAAGGATCACAGAGAATACTATCTAAACTTACAGCTATTATCATATACTATTTAATGCTGTCAAGTAAAGGAGTAAGGTCACATAAACCTTGTAGGACCCCAGCAGCTCCAATGTATAATGTACCTACACTGGATTGTTTTTATTGTTAACGAGACTATAAAAGATAATTGTAGTGGTGAATGGCAGGGCAAGTCTCCTTTGGCATGGCGGCAACTATATAGTTAATTTTCTGCATGCCAAAGGAGAATCGCTCTGTAATTCACCAATCCCACGTTTTCTATTTTCGCTCTTGGTTTAAGAAGGATATCAAAGGAGAGTGCTATTTAAGCTACACATCTTGCTCCTTTTATTGGAATGTGCCAATTTTGAGGAGCATATGCTGCAAAAATGCCAAGCATCTTCTTTCCCCTTTAACTCCATTATCTCCTTATGTTCATCTAGTCTTTATTGTGACACATAATGTGCTTGATCTTGTAAGGCGGTGGTCCTTACCCTTGTTTCAGATATAGATATTAGAATCCAAAAACTTCCCTTCCTACTTTTCCGAACACCTTTTGTTTAATTGAATTCAAACACAGAGTTTGGTGTTGGCATGCTACATCCTTAAAGTTGACCTTGTGATCAAACATTTGGAAGGACACATATTTTTACTACGTTGATTACATGTTTGCAATTTGCATCACTAAAGAGGCTAAGATCATCAAACTTGGAAATGTATATATATTTTCAATTATTTGATTACTTGACAAAGACCATGAAGTCTTGATTACTGCATTAGTCGCATCAGAAGAAAACTATTACAAGGAAAGTAAGTGTGAAGATTATGTAAGATTAAATTTACAGAACTAAAGATGAAAACAGAACCTGAAATTCAGTTTAAATTTGACAGAAGATTGTTTTAAGTGGAGTGGCATAGAGATTTAGCCGTACACTAACCACAGGTGAATCAAAAGAAAAGACTTTAAACCAGTGTCCAAAATTTCTCATGCACTATGATAGGATGTCCTTTTGATTCTCATACACTAGATCATTTGTTCATCTGCATGCTATTCTTACTTTCCATTGTCCTAACTCATTTACTTTGTTTTGTGCTTCACCCTCGTCTTCTCTAATGCAAAGCTTTAAACAGATTAGCTCGATCTGCATGTACATTTTCAAAGTCAAATGTGAGAGAATGGAAATGAATTATATTCATGTACATTGCCTTTATTTTTTGTAAAATTTCCTTCATCCTCAATAGGCGGGTTTCTTGTATAATTTCCTTGTAAATTTGTTAGCCTATCAAAGTGACATCCAAAAAACTAGTTTCATACAGCAACAACAACAATTAAAAAGAAGAAAAAAGTTCATAAATTTTTTTTTAAAAATCAAAGTTATTTAGCTGGTTTATCCTATACTAATGACAACTTATCATTTTGGCCTTTTTTGTATTTCTTGTTCAAGCAAAAGCAGGCTGGTCACTGGACAAATACCCCCCAGTCAAGCGAAAACAGGGGCAGTTGCAAAACTGAGGTTTAGATTGTTCCTTAACCTCTCATCTGCTGTCATATTCTCTTTTTACATGCTTGGTTTGTCACGAATTTCAGATGCAAAGTTTATTTTGATTTATATGCTGCCTTGTTTTAATATATGCCGGAGAAAGTCATAGCATATGCTAAGAGATAATTTCTATTGAGGACTTCTTATCTCATTTCCTTATATAAAAAAGTTGGAACTGTTGTTACCAAGTCGACAATACTGTGCTAATAGCTGTATTATACACATTCATCAAAATCTAATTACTACTAGCCTTTGCCCTTTGGTGTCTATTTAGTTGTCTTTGTTGCTTGTAGGCCTTTCATGCTTCCTCTATATTCACTTCATTTACCTCTTTTCAGTCATTTTTCTTCTGCTTGAACATACCTATGGATTTCTTAGGCATGAAGTTTTGATAAATCTAATTCGCTAAGTTTTAACCAAGATATTAACAGCAACAAGTACTTTTCAAGTCAATGAATAAGTCTACTCAATAATTGGTTTGCAGCATGTGTAATAGAGAAGCAATGGCAGAATGGTGTGCTGAAGAACTATTAGCTAACATTTGCAGTAATCTTAATAATGTATACCTTGCTCAAAAGAAAACTTTGTTATAACAAGTTGGAACAATGCATACTCAACTTGACCTCTCTGAACCCGAGAAACACCCACAGCAGATCAGCAGTATTGATGGTGAATGGCAGGGCAAGTCTCCTTTGGCATGGCAGTAATTATGCTACACATTAATTGTCTGCATGCCAAAGGAGAATCGCACTGTAATTCACCAAGCAAATATTTTCAACCTTTGCTCTTGGTCTGTTGGAGATCAAAATGAATGAGAGCGCGCTATTTAAGCAACTCAACTTGCTCTCTTTACCGGGAATGTGCTAATGTAAGAAGCATATGCTGAAAACATGCCAAGGATGTTCTTTCTACTTCAACTCGTGACACACTGAGACTTAATGTTCTTTAACTCGTAACGACATTGTGGTCCGAACCCTTGTTTCAAAATGTATGAGTTGGATCTTTGTAATTGGATTATGTCCAAGCCAGTACAAAACCTATACCCATATGACCATATCGGCCTACACTACCATCCATATGGAAACCTACTTTTGGCCACGTGGACACTTACTCTTCACTTGATAAGACATCCACATGAACATATACACGTGGCACTTGCTTGGGGATTTTTACAAATACCCCAACATATTTTACTTCTAAGGTATTTTCCACTCTGAAAATTACTTTCTTAATCATTCCAAACAATACTAATTTTAATAACTGAGTGGTTATCCTCGGAAATAACCTTGAGGGCAGCTAACCTACATTGACTGTGCAGGTACCCAGTTAGACAATAAACTATTACTAACCCAGATACAAGTTAAAGATCACACCTACAACACATAACTAGTAGGTTGCCTTACTACATGTTTTTTCTTTTGTAAATAACTTAAGAGTAACAAAGGATGATGTTGCATGTTTAATGTTGAACTTGTGATTAGTAGATTATGGCTGGAAAGTGGAGTTCTATGAGATACTCCCTCCGTCTCCGATTGATAGTCACTTTTGCCATTTTTGATGACTCAAAATATTAGTCAGATTTGCTTTTTTCAGATACCGTTAGTATTATTTTTTTACCAAAATTCTCTAACATTTGCAAAAGTATTTGTGTAAATTTACTTTTTCATGTACTTTAATTACTTTCTCTCTCTACTTTTTTGCATACCCAATGTAAATTTACTTTTTCAATGTACTTTCTTTAATTCTCGTTAATTCCCGTAATTTTTCTTTAAAAGTGACTATCAATCAGGGACGGAGGGAGTAGAATTTTGTAGTTTACAAGCCATGAAATAACTAATAAAATTTTTTGTAGTTCTACCTCGTCTATATAAGACTCCTCAAACAAATACAAGTGCAGCCAATTTATATTGAGTTATTTGAGTACACAACTATTCAAACAATACAAAATCTATATATTTTGATAAAATATGAAGGGTGTGAACAATATGAATATATATAATGTGTTAGTAAAAAAACAATCACGAAAATGAGGTTAAGAATGTGATTCTTTTACTTATACTCTACCCAGTACCCACATATGGTGGAGGCAGACCTAGATAATTAGCCTAATTGGCAAAATTTTGTCAATCAGCCGCGGTGTGGGCCATACACTGTACTTGCAATTAATATTTGAAAATTGTATAGTACACTAGGGTGTACCATGCTCATGGGATTCATTTATTTGTACCTAGTGTTAAATTCTCTCTGTACCTAGTGTTAAATTCTCTTTGTACCTAGTGTTAAATGATGCGTTTTTAACATTTTATTTGCAAGCTGTCACTTTGTTATTTAAAAAAAAAAAATCAATCTCTTCCACAATTCATGGGATTCAACGTGATAAATAACTTTCAAAATTAAATTTCACCACATTTCAATTTTGAATTAAGAGAGAATAAAGTTTATAAAGAATTTTGTACAGAGAAAAATACAGAGCAAATTATGAGAACATTGTAATCGATGGATCGGAGAAGCTAAGGTAATTTGATTTTATTTGCTATGATTTTAATTTCAGGATTTTGCTTATTAGGTTGATTTTATTTCGTTATTATTTTGCACGATTATTGTAAAATATCGTTGTTTTTTTTTTCAATTTTGATATTTATGAATTTGAGATCCATATGACAAAGGTTGAAAATAGGTTCTTTTATTTTGTCAAAGGTTGAAGATGATGTTCTTTATATTTTGTCAAATGTTGAAGTGGTGTTCTTTATAAATTGTACTTATGTTCGTTATTATAGTTATTGAACAATTATATGAATGTTCTTTATTTTTATCCTTTATGTTCTTTGCTTTGATGTTCTTTGATTTATTTTGTATGTTCTTTGAATTATAATAATTTTTTTAAAATAATATATCATTTATTAATTCTATATATATATATATATATTTAATATTAATTATCACTAACTACGTATATTTAAAAAAAAAATCAAGATCGTGAAGGTTGATGACGATATTCTTTTTAGATCTCCTCTATTGATGATTGTTTTTCAGATCTAAAGAACATCCGTAATATTATTAAAGAACATGATAATATTATGAAATGAACATAACTTATATATATACCTACCACGCTCCAAAGAAAAAATTCAAAGAACACTTCACAATAAGCAATGAACATTATGTGACGATAAAAGTATATTGCAATTACAATAAAAAAAATGGACAATAATTAAAATAAACTATCAAAAAATCTAATAAAAATCATTATATGATATAATTATGGACATAAGGAAAAAGATATAGTTTTAAAAAATAATTGCATACAAACAACTATAAAGTACATCATGTTTTCTAATAGAGAACATTATTAAATCACATATAAAACATTACAAAAAATTTATATACACCAACCCTAAAATGAATATTGTAACTATATATATTAAAGGTGAAAAATATGAACGAAAAAAAAAAATTGAAAACTAAAATTTTGAAAACGAAATTTATAAATTTATACACCAACCCTAAAACGCATCATTTAACACTAGGTGTACCATGAGCATGGTACACCCTAGTGTACTATACAATTTTCATACTAAGAATACTCTCACTACCAAGCAGCAGACGTCATCTGGCTGGTCTTGCCAATATCACCCACGAATTAGCAAACTATGGCCCTTGGCCCAGATGAGATCTATTGCAGAGAGGCAAATAAACGAAGAAAAAAAAAGAATTTAATTATATTAATTTTTGAAT